CTGATCAGTATTTTTCGACAGCCATACTAATTCAATATCGCCAGCAAATGTAAGCACCTTACTTCCTAATGCCATCTTGTCAAGATGGTCCAGTTGACTAATCTATTGGATTGGATTGATTGGACTGGATTGACTATCTTATTGCGCTTGACGCATCAAAACGGTCGGAGGCCAGCCGACAACATACGATGCCGCAAATCGTGCTGACCTACGCCAGACACGAATAACTCCATGACCATATCTATTTTGGCCTTGGGCACTACATAGCCAATTAGATGCTGACAAACGCGTGACGTTTACTTCGCGTCATGATTATCCGGATGACATTGACAGAGTTCGCCCGAAATAGACTGCACAAGTCTGCGGCCGTCAAACTCGGAAACCCGAGGGTTTTAAGACTTAAAAAAGCATGACTGCGAACTGCACAAAATGATATTCAAGTGGCTACTGGAGTTCAAAACCCCATACAAATGTGGAACGCTAACTTCAAAATAAACTATATATACTACGTTCGAGATAGTGTAATATCTAAGGTGTGTTGCTTATTCGTGGTGGCCCAACTGCTTGCCCCCTCGCTGCCATGAATAAGCAATAGACCGCCGCGATGACAAGGGACCTCAATGTTCTAATCGCGGAAGAAAAGGGTAGTCCTACAAGGATCGTGTAAATACGAGAGGGACTGAGGCAAGGACCACTTGTTTGTTTTGTCATGCATTTCTTTAATCGCCCACGGCCGTGCCTGGCAGCAAGCCAGAAACGGAAAACCACGACGTACTTCTGGCCACAGCCAGAGGGCGTGGCTAGGCTTGACGTGGTATGCGCTATTTACCAACCGACCAGAAATGGCAGAAATGTTCCAGCCTGCTCACGACATAATTGTGGAGGATTTTACTCACCTGCATCGTAAAATATCCGGTTAAGAACTGAGCATTCCTTTCGACATTGGACGGACTGTTCGGATTCGGCATTCGCTGAGCGAATCGAGCATCGAGCCCTCTGTGTACGTATGTATGTGTCGAGCTCTCGAGGTATGTATCGACCTCTCTAGGTATGTATCGCGCTCTCACGATCAGTACTGAATACATCACTTTGCAGAAAGGTCGCGCAACGATCGACCGCTGCAAAGTAGGAGGTCATGAGAACCTCTACCGCAAAATTGTCGAAATGCCGTAACTTTCCACATTTGAGTTTCAGCATTGAAGTTAGCACTAGTCTCCCAAATAGCAGTGTCTGCTGAGATCAAACTTCGGCTATATATGTCTTGAGTTCAAGATTGCATGGTTCAGTAGGCGGTGTTTGATTGCGAATGTCATCCACTCCGCTGAGCCACAACGCCTTAACAACTGGTACAAACATATAACACAAGTCGCTTCAAACGCCTTACATGGTACTTCCCCGCCCACGTTCATCATATATTCAATTGTTATCACCACAGCCGAACAAAAAGTTCGCGTCCATAACCACCGTTACGTGACATAACCACCTCCCACCGGCCAAGACGGCACCAGCGCCACCTGTCCACAGGTAGCACCCCTAGCGGTCGTCGGCGGTACTCACTTAAGGCCTTGCCGTCCTTCCAGTGAGTTATCCGCAGGACGCCAGGCACGTCGGCCGCCGCACGCTTCGCGTCCGGCTTGATCGCCTGCCGCAGCATGCGGGCGGCGACGGCAGAGTACTGCAGGTAGCTGGCGAACACAGCCAGATCAGCACGTCGTCAGTCGCAATCAGGAGGCAGGGCAGAGGATGAGTTGCGTGAGCCATTCACTTCCAATTGTCGAATTACAACAACGTATGCGTTATAATTTCAAAATCGCAAGTCAATAAAACACATGACAGCATGGACGTCATCAGTGCAAAAATCCAGCCGCAGGCAGCCAGTCGTGTAAATTGGATGGCATGGCTGCTGTCAGAGGTACGAAATGACTGCAATCTCGCAGCATTCGTTGGACGTCAAAATCACTTCTGCTCATCCAGCCACTACATACACGCAAGTTGCCAAGAAAATGCATTGCAGCCGTTTCTCTGCGGTCTGCAAAACAAAGGGAACATATGGATACATTTATCTGTCATAGTGGTGGACTGCTGATGATGAAATGCAACATGCGATCCATTTACATCAAGCCCATGCTCATTCAGTCAGCACAGCATCATTTCATCACTGCCGGAATAACTGCAACAAGGCGGTACAGTGTCTTGCGCAACGACAGTACACAAGCTCATGGACATCAAGTGGGCAGGTAACCGACCGCAATTTGACGTCTTCCCTCTCTTTCACAACAGGTCGCCGCACCTGGCTGCATAATTCAATATCACTGCCTTCGCGCACGCCTACGGAACAATGCATCGATACGTTAACGGTGAAACATGCTTCATCGCAATTTCAGGTGCGCTCTTTCATACGTGCGGCAACAGCAATACGCGTAGGCGGTTTTTTCGGATCCACCTGGCGCCATGCAATTTATACTCTTTTCCGACACTTGAGCAGTATTGATCACGACCGTGCCAGCACGGAGCTTGCTCCAGGATCAGCACTGTTCCTCAAGCAAGGCTATTAAACCGTATCCAGAAGTAGACGGGGACAGAGCGACGTGCATGCCGCCGTCAGGCAGCACAGCAGCTTAAGGCTCTGAGGTTCGATCTAGATTCTTACAAATGCAGTGCATTGAGTGTGGTTACAATTATTCACGTATGGTAGGATTTTACCACATGCTACTAGTCCGCATTATTTGGGAGATTATTGGCCCAAGTGAACTAGATACTTCCTGGTTTCCAACCCCTCTTCTCATGGAAGACATCCGACAAACTTAATGGCAAATTGTGAGTCGCTGCAGGCCAAACACCTTGACCAACTGTATCAAACCATGTAGATTGTAAACATGTGTACGTGTAGTGGGCCGACAAGCTTTTACTGCACGCTCGCGCTGATGTTGCAAATGTTCTACAATATATAATACATATCAGCACCTGATAGTCATCAATTTCCATATTTTGAGCCAAGGCAATTTGTGGCAGTATGCCAGTTTACTGAGTTATGCTGTCACCATTGGAGGCTTGCACAGTGATTTTTGCCTGTAACTGCAGTAACTTGCAGCTGTCCTCCTCATTTTGAATTGCTTTTGATGTGTGATTAATTGATTTCACTGTCTACTAGAGTGAGTCACACAACATGATATTACTGCTATCAAAGGTCATGTGGTCAACTTTAAGCATCAAACCAAAGGGATGTTACGGATTTGAGGGAGGCTGTTGTGTCCATGTGCAATGAATCAGTCTCCATAACCAAGACATTTCAAAGTATTCTGCATCACACATCTTTTTATTGCACTTTTTGAATTTCCACTGAACTAGAAAATTCACAATTACACATTGATTACTTCATATGCTTTGGTAACCACTGAAAAAGGCTGCTGCATTATATTTACTATCAACTATTACTGAATAATTGTCCAGTAATGCCAGCTGCATACATAGTGCAAATTCAACAGATATTTGTTCTCACTACATGCCACAAGTTTAGTGTTTGCATTGTTGGTCCCCAAGACTTTAAATCCCATTTATAATACTTTACCTAGTTTACCTTATGGCATCTGGGAAACCAGAGGCACTGGGTTGGATTCCCCACAGTGCCCTCCCTTCCTGCTAGGGTGAGAGGCAGGCAATGCCATATAGCCTCAGCAGCTGATTGCGGCATAAAGCCCCCATGACAAACTTACCTTATGGTGATCAGGAATTATAAAAGGCCACTAGGCCTGTCAGTCCCTGTCTCATCAAGCTCCTGGTCCAGTAACCAAGCAGTCCCAAATTGATTGGGTTGATTCAGTGTGGGATGTCATAGATGATCTCAGCACAGTGCATATTAAGCCTATAATTGAGCTGTTTAGCTGAGGTTGATGACACAACCAGGTGTGGAAGGGTGTTCTAATGGTTGACAACCTGTGTGCTCAATGAATTGAGGACTTGGGCAAGATAAATTCTAGGGGACCCTCTGTAAATAATGGTACAAATTCTGAGGTAATTTTTAAGGCAATTTTTAGGTAAATAAGTGGGTGATTTCTCTCCACCTGATCAGAACTGACAAAAACTGCCCCCCCCCCCCCTTGATCAGGCATTGTGCTTTAGGGATTAGATCACCATAAGTAGGACTTGATCCGTAACTGAACTAGTAGATTAAGCGAAGACAGGCAAGTTACCTGTCAAAAGAGGAAGCTTATGACAATTACAAGCCTCGACACAGTTGAAAAATGTATAATAACAGATTAGAGAACTTGCATGGCATGCAACCAAACCTGAGTGAGCTGTTATACAGTCCAAACATGTGCACTTTCCGCATGATTCACATTCCCCCTTTCCTCTAATCACGCTACCTGTAATGCCTCATAAAAACCTCCACTAACACTACCTGTTTGTGTCGCAAGGTATCGACGTCCCCAATCCCTTAGGATGCTTCTCAGAATCACGATGGAAACCATTCCAAAACTGATGTCTGCGCATGCAAGTTGCGAGCGGCAGTAATGTGAAGTACATACTTACTTAAGTCCGGCTTGCCTCCAGTACGTCATGGTTTCACACTTTTTTGCTGTTTTTGAGCAGATTCCAACCCCAATATCCAAACCGAGTGTGAAAAGGACGGATGGAGCAAATCGAGAAGTGGTAGGCCCGTTGCAAAAGAAGAAAATCTCCAGCAGATGGCGACCATAAATGTAACTAGAGCGCCATATCATGAATAGACCTGGGAAGCGTAAATATATGAAGTATTCATTTTCTTTGACGTCATTTTCGTGACATATACTGACTGACACCGGGATATTTATGAAATCCTATGCCTTATGACGCCATACTGAAACTAAGAAATGCACACGCAGCTGTTCCGCCGTGCGGCGGGCTGATGCAGACGGCCGTGCCTTCTCGCCTGCCGGTGTGTGTCGTGATCTTCGGGTCTGGTGTCATACGCTGGTGTTATTACTCATTCACGCGGTGGGCGACGCGTAGGTGTGGTAGGGACGCCGAGTAATACGCTTCAGGCTAATTAATTGTGTTCGCAGGGCATTACACTCTGTTTTTCCCTACAGTCAGCTGTTCCAGAGGGTCGCTGCGCAGTGCTTAAGGGAAGTACCTACATGTGGTAAAAGCAGCTGTCTGCTGCATGTGCTGCACCATCTGGACGTGAAAGTCGATTGGATCTGAATGCCTACGCATGCCTGCCATTTCAGCCTTAAGTGAAATCAGATTACTTCATCAGAAGACACTACTGTGTGCCTGGCAACTGAGACCAAACTGGAGCAGGCTAATTTCTGTATCACCAGTGCTCAACTTCCCACTGTCACCAGGCTGGGGCAGCAAACAGGCTTCAAGGAAGACTAAAGTCAAGAAGCAAATACCATACATTATGGATGCTAAAAGTGAAGAGCTCCTAGCCCCCTTGCGGCTCTCTGTGAAAGAACAGGTGAGGCATATTGCGTTGAACAGCTTGAAGCACTCAGTATATTTGCTTTCGGTGTGTTTGTGAGGTGAACTGTTGCATGCTTCGCTGCCATGGCTTATGATAGAGTTAAGAGTTTTTGTTAAGTTTTAGTGACAGCTATAGAAGCATTGCTTGCTAAGAAGAAGTCGTGAACTTTTTGGGAAACTGTGGTTTGAATGCTGGTAAGTTGCTTGGGATAAGTGTATCAACATTGGGCCACTTGGGTGTCAGGGATATTGATGGTTGTCATGCTGTTCTGCTCCAGGCACTAATAACCCTACTTGCTACCCCTCCCATTGCTCAAAATTGGTCAAATAGCATTGAACTGGGTGATTTTGGCTCATTTGAGCATCTCTAGCTTGGTAAACGGGCTGGCGCTCACATGTCTGGGTTCAGTCTCAAAGAATAACTGATTGGCACTAACTAGTTGTATGCTGAGGCCACCAGAGAGCCAGGATTCTGGAAGCATAATTTTTTTACTTGATGGACACCTAGATGGATGAAATTCTCTGCTTTTCAAATGATATGGCCTCTAGATAACACTTACTTAAAGCTAAATAGCATGAAATATGCTTATAAAACACCAGGATTGTCCCTCCACATCCCTTTAAAGTGAAATAGCTTCAATACTTGGGTGGTGACTATATTTTACACACTAATGTGATATTGCTCATGTATTAAAGTCCAACTAGAGACAAAAGTAGAATTGTTAGATTTAATATTGTTCTACACACTAATGGCTAATGATAGTTTATACAGGGATTAGGTGGATTAATGGTTGGACATCAGGGATAGTGAACAATAGATGAGGTGATAAATAGTGGTAGTGTTATTTTCATATTTAACCAAAAAAGTGCTTAGTTTCAGTTATCATCAGTGCACTCCTCTGCCACAATAAAAGGTTTTTGTTGATCTTTGTATGTGGTGACAATCATTCTGCTGCCAAAATGATTATGTCTGTATTTCTGTATCATTCTGGTGCTAAAATGATTATGTCTTTATGTCTGTTTCATTCTGGTGCCAAAATGGTTATGTCTGTGTTTCTGTTTTTCAGGGAGATCTTGTCCAAAAGCTGAAAGCAAAGGGAGCATCAGAGATTGATGTAAAGAAAGCAGTCAATGAACTGAAGGCTCGAAAAAAGGTCCTTGAAGACAAAGAACTATCCCTTGCCCCATCTCAATCAGCATTTGACAGGACCAAAATGGAAGATCTTCTCAAAAGAAGATTTTTCTATGACCAGTCATTTGCGATTTATGGAGGTAGGGTCTTAAGACAAAATTATTTGTAATCAATGTAACAGTTTTTTCTCCAATTCCATTTTGACACATTTCAAGTTCTCCCATTTTTATCTCATTTTTAGCTGTCAGGCCAAGTGGGTGTGATCATGACATCTCATGATTTGTTTTCAGGAGTGACTGGTCAGTATGACTTTGGACCAATGGGCTGTGCTTTGAAATCCAACATCATATCTGAATGGCGAAACTTCTTTGTCCTTGAGGAGCAGATGCTGGAAGTGGATTGCACTGTTCTCACCCCTGAGCAGGTTTTGAAGTAAGTATATTTGCCAGAGCTATCAAGCATATCCTGATATGTTCAGCTGTGTAGCTTACCAAAGGCTTGCCACACTGGGATAATTTTTCACTTTACCAGTTGTTGCATTTGTAACTTGACAGCATTTGGTGCAATGAATATTTAGTCTGTGTGTTGCATGTTTCTGGAAAGGGTATGTCCAACATTTGTATGAGGGTTTGGAATTGAGGTGGGTGTGGCCAATTCTGGGTGATAATTGGTCCAAAAATATGTCACAAGGATTTCTTGGTTTGATTTCAATTAATAGGCCTTCATTTAATATGTTAATGCTGCGCCATGGCTATAAAGTGTGACGTTAGCAGGAAAGGCAACACCAACAGCCACCAGATGACTGGAAAATGGCAGCTACCAGTTGCTGATTCATTGGAGGTGATACCATATCTGGCCAGAGGAAACAGAGCATGGTATTTTCTTTGTCATATTTGGTACCTTTTGATCAGTTAAGCTCTGCCATATTGATGGCATGTTTTTTGGGGATCAAAGCTTGCCCTAAGCAAAGCTTGTTGTGAGTTCTGGCTCCACCATTGGATTGTAATGTCCAGTTCAGCTGCAGAATAGTGTGACGAAAGTGGCGATCAGCAGGCTGTCACCTATGCCGCCGCGTGCCTCGGTGGTGTCGCCGTGGTCAGCACCTACGGCTCTTTCAGGGCCTCGGGGCATGTGGAGAGGTTCGCCGACTTCATGGTGAAAGATCTGAAGAACGGCGAGTGTTTCCGCCTCGACCACCTGATCAAGGCGCAGCTGGAGAAGCTGGCCGCCGACAAGAAGACCCCAGAGGAGGACAAGCAGAAATGTCTGACCACCGTGGCCCGGGTATGGGACGCCTCTAGCTGCTGTTCGCCCATGTTTAATATCCGCGTGTCGCTTCGCTCCCTGCGAACGGATGCCCAGAGGCCGGCGTTGTATGGTGGCAGAGAAGAGCAGGGAGCCTGAACGCCATCATCGAATCCCCACATGTTTGCCTGGATGTAGAGTCTGTCGCAAAGTGGTATATCTCTGGGGTAGGTGGCAGACACTCATTTTCTCTACCTCCCCCCCCCCCAAAAAAAAGAACATCATTACTATGTCTTGTCCCCATGTCCCATGCAAAGTGTATTTTCATCACTGAGCACAAGCCAGTATCCTCCACGTCATGTTATGGGCACGTGTCATTGACTCATATTTCCATTCCCAGCTGGACGGCATGGGCAAAGATGACATGAACGCTGTGATGAGGAAATACGACATGAAGTCTCCTATCACTGGCAACGAGCTCTCGGACGCCATGGAATTCAACCTGATGTTCAGCACCTCCATTGGTCCCACTGGCCTTCTAAAGGGGTACGTCGACGTGCGTGCTCCGGAATAACGCCTTCGGGCCTGTTGCCAAACCCGGACGTGCGCTCTGTGCCATGCTGCCGAACTGATCGCCAGTTGTAGTGCTAGCTCAAAATCCGGACGTGCGCTCTGTGCCATGCTGCCGAACTGATCGCCAGTTGTAGTGCTAGCTCAAAATCCGGACGTGCGTTCTGTGCCATGCTGTCGAACTGCTCGCCAGCCATACAAGTGCTGGCTCAAAATCGTGTTTGGTATGCCCGTCCTTGTCCGACGCGGTGGCCGGCGCTTACACAGACGTAACTCGATACAGGCACCGGCCGGTGATCTCGGCCCCGTGACCCGTCCGTGCTCAGCACCGCGCCTCGTGACCAGTGGGCGGGGTAGGGGCGCCGCCCGCGGCACTGCGCCGTCCTCCCCCCCCCCCCCCCCTCCCGCTGGCCCCCGTCAGGCATCGGCCGTGCGGCCTGTGTCTCGGCCGGCGCCACTCCGAGAGCCGCCGCTGACTGGGCGCCGGCCGACCGACAGGTTCCTGCGGCCGGAGACGGCGCAGGGCATGTTCGTCAACTTCAAGCGGCTGCTCGAGTTCAACCAGGGCCGCCTGCCGTTCGCCGCCGCCCAGATCGGCAACGCCTTCCGCAACGAGATCTCACCCCGCAGCGGACTGATTCGCGTCAGGTGCGCTGACCCCCCCCCCCCCCCCCCTCCCGACCTCAGCGCGGGCGGACCCCCGCGCCGAGGGCAGCTGCTGGCCGGGCTGCGGGCGGGCTCCAGCATGGTGCAGTGGTGCTGGTGTGTGCGCGATCTCCGATGCCAGTGCCGAGAGTCCGCGCCAGAGTTTTGCGATTCCGAGCTGTGGGATAAGGAGACGGTTTGCGATTCCGAGCTGTGGGATAAGGAGACGGTTTGCGATTCCGAGCTGTGGGATAAGGAGACGGTTTGCATTGTGCAAATAGCGAATGGCTTCAAATGGCGAATGGCGAATGGCGAATGGCTTTGTGTGGGTGGAGTGCAGAGTGGTGAAGGCGGTCGCGCCGCACCGCGGTGGCTGACCGCGACCCCCTGGCCGTAGGGAGTTCACGATGGCCGAGATCGAGCACTTCTGCGACCCGGCCGACAAACAGCACCCTAAGTTCGCTGACGTGCGCGGCCAGACGGTGGTGCTGTTCTCCGCCTGCAACCAGATGGACGGCGTGGCGGCGCAGACCACCACCATCGGAGGGGCGGTCGACAAGGTGCGGCTCGACCCCCGCCCCCGAGCAGTGCGGGCGAGCGCCGGGACACGCGGACCGGGGCCGCTGGCGCTGGGGGCCGCTGACCGCTTGCCGCAGCCTTTGACGCCTTTGAGTTTGGCGTTTGACGTGTTTTCCGTGTGTGCCCGACCGGTTTGATAGGATCTGCTAGGCAGGGTCGCCGCACGGGTGTGTGTCTAGACCCTGCATGTGCCCCACGTGTGCTCTGTCGGCAGGGTCTGGTGGCCAACGAGACCCTGGGCTATTTCGTGGCGCGGATCCAGCAGTTCCTGGAGCTGATCGGCGTGGACCGGCGACGGCTGCGCTTCCGCCAGCACATGGCCAACGAGATGGCCCACTACGCCTGCGACTGCTGGGACGCTGAGATCCTCACCTCCTACGTGAGTGCTGGCAGGTCCGGTGGTGGTGACGTGAGTGCCGGCAGGTCCGGTGGTGGTGATGTGAGTGCCGGCAGGTCCGGTGGTGGTGACGTGAGTGCCGGCAGGTCCGGTGGTGGTGACATGAGTGCCGGCAGGTCCGGTGCCGGTGACATGAGTGCCGGCAGGTCCGGTGGCGGTGACGTGAGTGCCGGCAGGTCCGGTGGTGGTGACGTGAGTGCCGGTCGGTTCGCGGGTTGTGACGGTGAGTGCCGGTCGGTTCGCGCGTGGTGACGTGAGTGCTGGTCGGTCCGGTGGTGGTGACGGGTTGAACGGGAGCCGGTGGTCTCTGCGCGCGGCCCGTGATGCTGTGTAGGCGGTGAGACCGCTGCCCCACGCTGGAGAACCTCAGCGGGGGAGGACTGCGCTAGTGGTGCGTGCGGCGGCAGGTCCTAGCGCCATTTGTGGTGGCTGAGAAGCTGCTGAAAGGCCGCCTGGAGCCAGCGATCGTGCCCGCCAGCTCAACTAGAGCCAGCGGTCGTGCCTGCCAGCTCAACTAGTCCGACTACCTACGCACTGGGGCAACATTGCACAGACCCAACTGTCACTTGCCTGAGCGCTGCTGAAGGGCACTGGTAGTGGCGTGCATTGCGTGTACTTACGGAAGCCCGCCCTGCGCGCTCCCGTGCGGGGTGTGTCCGACGCGCCGACGTGTCCAGTGATGAGGTGTCCACTGACACGCCGGCGTGTCCAACGGTGGGGTGTCCAGTGACACGCCGACGTGTCCAGCGGTGGGGTGACCAGTGACGCGTCGGCGTGTCCAGTGATAGGGTGTCCAGTGACGCGTCGGCGTGTCCAGTGATGGGGTGTCCAGTGATGCGCTGGTGTGTCCAGCGGTGGGGTGTGGATGCACTGTGAGCGGACGTCTGCCGTTGCCTGCAGGGCTGGGTGGAGTGCGTCGGCTGCGCGGACCGGTCAGCCTTTGATCTGAGCCAGCACTACAAGGCCACCGGAGTCAAGCTGGTGGCCGAGAAGAAGTTGCCCGAACCGAAGACCGTCGACGTCGTAGGTATGGCACGGCGGGCTCAGCGTGACGCTCACGCCAGGACGTCTTGCCAACGGCCAGAGCTCCCAACGCGGCGCGACAAAATGTCGGTGTTGCTGGACCCGCACGTGTTGGCAGTCCAGCCTTATCTGTTCGGCAGTAATGTTTAGGTGCACGGCTAGCTTTTTCTAGAAAGGCGATAATGAGTGGCCTCGAGATGTGCTTACAGCACAGGCAATTTAGTGTGTGAGCAGATTGTGTGATCTGGGGTTCACTCGACGAACTTCACCTAGCATATTCCCCTCCGAATATGACGGTCGTCCCCGTCTCCCAGAGCCCGTGGTCGCCAAGGGCTTGCTGGGGAAGGCGTTCAAGAAGGACGCCAAGAAGGTGACTGACCTGCTGATCGCGCTCTCCGCCGACCAGCTGACGGAGATGGAGGCCCAGCTGGCCAAGGATGGGTGAGCGCCGACCCTTCTCCCCGGGTGGTGGACGGCCGGCGCTTTTGTGACTGCGCTTTGGGCTCATCATATCAATTTTCTGTCAGATCTGTGATGGTGCAGGTGGGTTTGGCCGTATCACCTGGTATGTTTTGTTTTTACTTGTTTTTGCTTGTTTTGCCGGTCTGCTATCAGTGGAGCCTGTCCCCCGCCCTGCGACCGAGGCCGCAGGCCACAATAGGTGACGCCTGCCGAAGCCACCGTGTGCGTCCAGTTTCGCCGAGTGTCGGACAGAGCTGTGGCCCGGTCTAGTGACCTGCCGACCCTGACCAGACCCTCCGACCCAAACCAATTACCTCTGGGCTAGACCGGGGACCTGCGGGATCCGGAACAGCTACCTGCCAACCCTGGCTGGTAGCCTGCTGACCCAGGCCTGTGACCTGCCAGCGCGGACCAGTGACCTGCCGATCCCGATTGCTGACTTGCCGAACTTAAGCTGTGACCTGCCTTTCCTGAACCGTTGGTCTGCCAAACTCGACCACTGATCTGCCAAACTGAACCGGTGGCCAACTGACCTTGAGCCGGTGGTCTGCCAACCCTGAGTCGCCCACCTGCTGACCTTGAGCTGGTGACATGCCGACCTTGAACCGGTGACATGCTGGCCTCGAACCAGTGACCTTTACAGTTACATACCGAACCAAACTGGTGACTTGTTGACCTCGAGTCTGTGACCTGCTGATCTTAGCTGGTGACCTGCTGACCTTGATCCAGTGACCTGTGGACCCTTATCGATGACCCGTCAGCCCTGACCAGTGACCGATCGACCCTGACCAGTGACCCGTCGACCCTGACCGGTGACCCGTCGACCCTGACCGGCCACCCGTCGACCCTGACCGGTGATCCATCGACCCTGACCCCAGTGACCCGTCGACTCTGACCAGTGACCCGTCGGCCCTGATAAGTGACTCGTCGGCCCTGACCAGTGACCCGTCGAAGCTGACCAGTGACCCGGCCCCACAGGCAGTACCAGCTGACGGCACCGGACGGCACCGCCTTCGCCATCAAGCCGGACATGCTGACCGTCAAGCGCCACTCGAAGACGGTGCACGTGGAGGAGGTGGTGCCGAGCGTGATCGAGCCGTCGTTCGGCGTCGGCCGCGTCATGTACGCCCTGCTCGAGCACAGCTTCCGCGTACGCGAGGATGACGACCAGCGCACGGTGAGGGGTGTCGGCAGGCGCCGGCGGACCGCGGCGCAGTGGGAGGCTAGGGCACGGCTCGCCGGCCTCGGGCTGGACGCCCAGCTCGTGTGTGAGAACACGTGGGTTCGATGTGCGCCGCAGGGACTGTCGTCTGGCTTTGCCGCTGCAATATTTGTAATGGACGGCGGCCCAATACCGAATTAGGTATGCATTTAGAAATGGTCGAAGCAGTTGTTCCGCCTGATTGCGGGGTGTGGTGTCTTCGTGAAGCTATTGCGAGACCCTGCTAATGATCGTCAGCATCAGGTTACATTACAGCTCCAATTCACAGCATCCTCTCCCCATGGGCCGTGTGCAGTGTTGTGGCTCGCCACAGGTCACTTGTAATTTCGCTACGTGATTGACGGATCAAGACGATCATTGCCAGTAACAGATAAATGTATCAGGCCTTATTGCGCCCCATTCAGAATGTCTAGGGCTGGGACGCGTCATGCGTCGCGCCGGTAGTGAAGTGGTTAGCTCGTCTGCGTTAACCACTGCCAGTCTGGGAAACCAGCGGCACGGGGTTCGATTCCCAGCGGTGCCCGCCCTTTCTGCCAGGGTGAGAGGCAGGTGACGCCATATCGTCTCGGCAGCGGAGTGCATCGCAAAGCCCCACTAACGCACACGCGCACACACACATACGCCACGCCCTGCATGCGCAGGCGTGCGTCAGGAGCATCGCTCACGGCTGATACTCTGGTTGGGATTGGCCCCGTCCGTGTCAATGGCACACATACTGACCCTGTTGTGGCGGTTTTGGCAGTTCTTCTCGCTGCCGCCCGTGGTTGCGCCGCTGAAGTGTTCGGTGCTTCCGCTCAGCGGAAACGCGGAATTCGGGCCCTTCGTGAACCAGCTCTGTAAGTGCTTGCCGATGGATCGTGGGCAAATACCTTTGGTTCCCCATTCAGGATGTTTATGACGCGTGAAGTATGTCTGAATTGTTAGAATGGTGCATGAAACCATGCGGAAATGTGTTGTTTTTTTGTTTTGTTTTTTTGCTGTAAAAGCTTTTATGGACGAAATGTTATCTAGAGCGCACCAGAGATGTACTATCTTGACGTAATCGGTCGTCACACCGGAATATTCCTTAAAACCCCAACTGGTTTGCGTGTCCACGCGGTCTTCTAAATGCGCCATGTCAGCATGTAATGCACTGCGCGCCATGTCGTCAGTCACGCCGCGTCAGTAATCGCCGCACTAATCGCCCGCCTGCCGCCGGCAGCCCGCGAGCTGACCACGGCCGGAGTCTCGTGCAAGGTGGACAACGCCAGCGGCAGCATCGGCAAGCGGTATGCGCGCACCGACGAGATCGCCATCCCTTTCGGTGTGACGGTCGACTTCGACACGCTGCAGACGCCGCACACGGTCACGCTGCGGGAGCGCGACTCACGCGGCCAGGTCCGGCTGCCGGTGAGTGACGCGCGCACGAGCACCGCGGTCTCGTCATGTCCTGGCTGGGAGGGGGCGCTCGCTGGGGACTATAGGGAACTGGGGGCCAGGTCCGGCTGCCGGTGAGTGACGTGCGCACGGGCACCGCGGTTACGTCATGTCCTGACTGAGAGGAAGCGCTTGCTGGGGACTGTATGGGGGACTGGAGGCCAGGTCCGGCTGCCGGTGAGTGACGCGCGTACGGGCACCGCGGTTACGTCATGTCCTGGCTGGGAGGAGGCGCTCGCTGGGGACTGTATGGGGAACTGGAGGCCAGGTCCGGCTGCCGGTGAGTGACGCGCACAAGCAACGCGGTCACGTCACGTCCTGGCTGGGAGGAGGCGCTCGCTGGGGACTGTATGGGGAACTGGAGGCCAGGTCCGGCTGCCGGTGAGTGACGCGCGCACCAGCACCGCGGTCACGTCACGTCCTGGCTGGGAGAAGGCGCTCGCTCGGGACTGTATGGGGAACTGGAGGCCAGGTCCGGCTGCCGGTGAGTGACGCGCGCACGGGCACCGCGGTTACATCATGTCCTGGCTGGGAGGAGGCGCTCGCTGGGGACTGTATGGGGAATTGGAGGCCAGGTCCGGCTGCCGGTGAGTGACGCGCGCACCAGCACCGCGGTCACGTCACGTCCTGGCTGGGAGAAGGCGCTCGCTCGGGACTGTATAGGGAACTGGAGGCCAGGTCCGGCTGCCGGTGAGTGACGCGCGCACGGGCACCGCGGTTACATCATGTCCTGGCTGGGAGGAGGCGCTCGCTGGGGACTGTATGGGGAATTGGAGGCCAGGTCCGGCTGCCGGTGAGTGACGCGCGCACGAGCACCGCGGTCACATCATGTCCTGACTGGGAGGAGGCGCTCGCTGGGGACTGTATAGGGAGCTGGAGGCTGCCGGTGAGTGACGCGCGCACGAGCACCGCGGTCACGTCACGTCCTGGCTGGGGGGAGGCGCTCGCTGGGGACTGTATAGAGAACTGGAGGAGGGGTCAGAGGGGAGGCGCAGGGTGTGCGCGGTAAGGGACAGTGTGCGAGCTGGAGCGGTCGCTGGATCTCACGTGTCGCCGGCGTCCTGATTGGTTGGCAGGTGTTTGTCGAAGTATAGAGAGTAAGCTCACACCTAGTACGCGTACACCTAATATGTCCATGCGCGAGTGGTGTGCCGATGGATAAATAGCGTGTGCGAAGTATTTAATCTGGAGACGGTCCGGCTGTGAAGGATTTTTGTCTGTGGAGCACACGGCTGTTATCTCAATCGCGCCATGGATTTCATGCTATCACACTCGTCATCCCACCGGCGATAGCTCCTCGCCTGCCCCAGCCCGGTGCCCCCCACTGACGCGCTCCTCCCGTCCGTAGCTGGCCGAGGTGGCTGACGTGGTGTCGAACCTGTCCCGCGGCCGCACCAGCTGGGCCGAGGTGGAGGCCCGGTACCCGCGCTTCGAGCAGCAGCAGGCCACCAAGGCGGCCGGCGACAGCTGAGCGGCGGTCGCGGCGCACCGGAGATGGCCGGCGGCGGCGCAGGTGGCGGGCGGCGCGGTGCCGCCGGCCACGCATAGGCTTCTATTTAATAAGATCCGAAACGTTTTTGAATTTTACACCGAGGTGCTGTTGCTGGGCCTGCCATTCCTGCACGAACGATTCACAATATACGCACTCTGTCAGAGCGGGGTGTGTTGCTGACGACGCAATGTTCGGTTTGGAGGTGGCCGCCTCTTTCGCACACACACCGACCAAAGCGTGGCATCAGCGACGCGACATCTCTGGATTAGCCCATCGATACATCTGTCATTGACGCGCACATTTTCCCGGATGGATTCAGGCGGATGACCACCGCGCTACCAAGTCACGTGCGACACGCGTGATCCGCGCAGCGGGTGAGCGTAGCTGGACAGCGGAGGTCCGTGTGTGTGGGAGCCGTCCCAACCCGATGAGGCCACCTCGGCGCGCTGCTGGAGCCTCCAGACGTCTCCAGCTTGTCGCTCCGTCCGGAGTGGGGGAAGGGAACCTCCCGACCGGCGGTGCTCCGGACCCGAGGGGAGGATTAACGGCGACCCGCGTCCTGCGCATGCCCGGCGTCACCATCACCGTCACCGGCCGGCCGTGGCACGCCCGTCACCGTCTCCATCACCGTCACCGGCCGGTCGTGGCACGCCCGTCACCGTCGCCGGCGCCGCCGCGCCGGCCGCCGTCCATGTAGAGCCGGCGACACACCTCGCTCAGCGGGACGTCGTAGACGGGCGCGATGCCGCCGCCGGCCGGCGCCGCACGCCGCGGCAGGCTGTGCTCGTCCGTGTGCACGCGCGGGTCGTCCAAGCCCGGCACGTCCAGCAAGCCCAGCAGCGGGTAGATGACAAGCACGAAGAGGAGCAGGGCGGACAGCAGCGCCGTCGGCACCGTCAGCGCCCACAGCCGCTGCGGCCAGTAGTCGAGGCCGAGGGCGCGCGGCCAGGCAGGTGGTAGCAGCGCCCATGCCAGGTACAAGGCGGCCGCCAGCGCACTCGCCACCAGCAGCAGGAAGCCGTAGACGGCGCGCGCCGCCGTCGGCGCCGGGCCGTTCTCCGGCGCAGCGCTGTCCGACATGGCGCTGATGTCACCCACCTGCAATGGCAGCCAAGCTCAGACTGGCTCATGTTGTGGCGTGGTGTTGACGTATGGTGCTGGCAGAGACTGCTGTTGCAAGTTGTGTTCTGCATTTTTTAAAGAAAATGGCTGCAACATGCAGGGATTGGTATGACAGTTTATGAGCAGTTCAGGTAGCATAGTCTAACCTGCAGGGTGGGGAAAGCTGCCTTCTGTTGGTAGAAGTAAACCACTAAATGAGGAATCAAAGCTTGCATCTGAGAAAAAAAAATGTATGTGCTTGATGGCGACACTGGTTTCTGTTTGCAGAACCCCCCATGTAATGCACCTGGGTGGCCAGCTGGACACTCTTTGTTTGGGTAGGGGGCCAATTGAGCCCATTAAGATCTCAGAAATTAAGAGAGCTGGACTTCAAATTCACAGGATGTGCTGACCTGTGTGTTAACTCACTGAGGTCAAAGGCTGGGGTCCCTAGGTTATCACCATTGGGTCAGAAAAGGTGAAACAAGGTTAAACTCCAGGTTGGTCTCCAAAGTATCCCAGAGCCTGGATAACTTCTATGCAAAAGGCCACATACTCATTGAAGGTCAGTGGTCTCATTTGAACTTCAAAAGGTCATAGTGACCAAAGTCATGTACAACTGCCTGGCGTCTTGCACTTGAATCAGTGACAATGACTATGCTGGGCAGGATGTTCCTAAAACAAAGTGTTCAACTGTCATTTAAGGGCAGCAACCTTTTCTGGCTTTTACAAAGTCCATGAAAGATCAAAAGGCTGTTTCTGTTATCAATAAATTTGAAATGAGCACCAGAAACTACCCTTTATGACAAACCCTAGAGTAGTAAAGCAAGTTGGTTTTGACCATTGTCCAACCTTCATACCTGGCCATAGGTAAGTATGAGTTGCTCATTCAATTGTTGTGTTGCCTAGGAAAGTATCTCTGAGATATGTGGCTTCATCTGACACTGTTGTTGCATCAGGTTGAATGACTCCCTTGAAACTGAGTTTGCTAAATCCATGACCTGACTTTGACCTGCTATACATTGGCAACCATACAAGGAACCTTTAAATTTTTCATACCAAACAATCCACTTTTCAGTTCTTTATATTTGGGAAAATCTTGCACAGTTATGCTGCACCATTTGGTAACCATTCTGGAAAAACCTTTTAGGGGTCAGTTTCACTCTGCACCTGAATGCCTGTTCACTTTAAAATGGGCCAAACCTTAGATCTGAAGTAGATCTTTGGTGATGGTGCCTGGTGCTACAACTGACCTATTTTCTATTACCTGTCAGCTAACATTGCTGCTGCTCACACACAAAATGTCTGCCCCCTTTTCTTATGAGTGTAAAAGGTGTTTTTATCAACCAGGGCCTGGATGTGAATTTCTCATCCTGCTGATCCATGTACCCCATCCTGGTTCATCAACCATCATCACACAGTTTACATGTGACAACCAACATGTTGCATAATTGTGATCATTAATGAAGCGTGCTGTGCATTTTATTTTCAACCCACATTGCTGCACCCCTCTCCTCTGTACCAAAAGGCTGGTCTGGCCTAGTACTGTTGGCCCCCTAAACGGGTCCCCCCCCCCCGACCCCTTTTCTGAACAGAAGTCCGTCTAATAGCTCCCACAATGTAGGCCTCAAGATCTGCTCTTATCAATCATAATAATAACGTGCAGTTTCATACCTGTCATGGCTAGTTATTTCACGTCGGTGAATAATAAAAAGGCACCCTCACACGATGATAAGGTGGAAACTCATCCCATTAGCATTACATTGCTCGCACGCCCTACCGCGCCCACTCGCCAAAAATTGACGCAAGCACGCCAAATAAGCGACAACATTGGCATAAAAGTAGTGCCACATCGTCAACACAGCTCAATGTATGCTTAGGCAATAACTTGGTCATCATTGCAGTTTTAGAGTATTTTAAAACAAAGAATCATGAATAATGCTGTTATAACTCTTGCTACTATACCTCATTCCGTATTAAATACATTTATATTGGTTTTCATGACAAGACATATAAGCAATATGTTTAGCCGTCTTTTACACGTTCGGCCGCAAGACCTCAATGCGGCACAAGCGCCGCAAGCACAGAAAGCAAGTGCGGAAGGGGAGGGCCGGGAGGCCACGCCTGCGTTTCTCTTATCTGTCTTGTTGCTGCATACGCGGGGCTGTGATGGCGGAAAGACGGCGGAAAAGAAATCCTGATACCATAGGGTCAGACGATGCCTCGGGCTCAGACATCTCCATTGATGGTGGCCGCCGGAAATCATTAAGCGTAAGTATCGCGCTTGGGTCAGATTCGTACAGCCCATGTGCAGTGGCTGTCCTGCGGCGCCACCAGAACAGAACCGCGTGACCGCGGTATTGCATCCTGCCGGTATTGTTATCATTCTCACATATATAAATTGTGGTAATTACCTTTTGGTAGTTATGAGTGGTGGCTGGGTATTGCCCATTCTGCCAACTATGGCAAATATGCAAACAACAGGTTAGGGCAGGCAGGGTTGTGCTCCAAATAGGATAGTAACCTGCCCCTCTTGGGATATATTTTGCCAACTGTATCCCAAAAGATTGGAGTATGTAAATGTTTAAAGAAGATGCATGTGCATGCAAAAAACATGTAATTAGGTTTGCCATTTTATGTGTTCATGTCATAGGACACTGATGTCATTAATGCTCCAATTCAAAGTCTGGAATAACATTTTGATAATCTGCTCTAAATTAACAGTTATACCTCATCTTTGCCCTCAGTGAGATGAGATCTTGTGGAAGCCTGTCATGGTTGCTGACTTGGGTGTTGCTAGCACAGACCCTGTTCTGCATTTTGGAGACAATGCAGTTTTAGATCTTACAACATGGTTATCAGGTGTTTCATGCAGCAAGGAGTAATGCTAATGCATTGGTTTACCTATAGGTACCATATGCAGAGTCTGGACACCACAAATTAGCACCCACATGCATGCTTCCAGTAATGGAACTTTGGTGCATAGGGCAGGTGGCAGGGATCATTGTTGACAGTTACCACCCAGTGGGATGATGCTGGCTGGTGTCTTGCTATGATCAGTCAGTATACTCTCATGACTTCACTGGGTTTCCACCTGAATATTCATTTGGAGGTATTCTGGGCTAGTCTGAGTCTGGCCAACAGTACTTAACACTTCCAGTTCAAAATAACTTTTGTTCTATTTCATTCCAGGGCTTCATCTGGCCTTATGTGGTCTTCCATATTTTGGTAGTTCATAGGCTTTCAGCTATGCTTTGTGAAGGTCCAGTGACATCACTACAACACCATATTGATATTATGCAGTGGATCAGCTGAGCAGAGTACATTATCCAGTGGCGTTTGTCATGCTGCAGCATTCACTGCATGCTGCCTTGCAAACATAAAGCCCTGAGCAAAAGTTGTGGATTAGGAAGAAAGATGATTTATTATGTCAGTTACCAGCATATAATGTCTACAGACAAATACATTATTGCTGCTTATTACATAGGACATTCTACATATTCATATTGTCTTAGTTTGAAAGCAGAACTCTGTCCACATTTAGGAACACTGCATAGACAATGCATAGGGAATGTGCATATGAATATGCTTTTGTAGTGCACTGGTATACATCTGCACACTGGTGAGCATTACATTGAACATTAATATTGAATGCAAACATGCAGGACAGCAAAAAATAATGGTAACTCACAATCATCCATGTGCTCATTTCACCCTTGTGCTCAATAGTAGCTGTGGAAAGACAGGGGATAAACATGAGGTTTCTACAAAATCCAGTCACAGAAGCTAGGAATGGCCTTGTGTAGATGGTTCTTAGTCCTAGAATAGCATCCCATTTTCCAATAGAAATGGCATACACCTGTTACACATGTGATCAGCCTTCAGAAACCATTTATGTGCCCATGTGGTACATTGTAATTGTCTGGCATCCAAGGCTTGCAAAACTTTAGCTAATGTGCTAGGTGAGGTGTAAATGTGATAACTGTAAGTACATCTGCGTGATATATTGTACCTAAATACTATGTCTTATGGTGATCATATTGGTTTTGGTTTCTAAGAATTATACCTTCTGTTAGTTTCTTGGTCAAAGCATTATGTAAGTGTTGTATCTATTATGACTAGTGAAAAGCAACATCCATCTGTGCACAGGATTCTCTTCCATTATCCAACCACCTTTATTGACAAAGTTAGTATCAAATTCAGCATGGTTGCAAATGTGGCCTATTCAACATCAGACTTTATGCAGACTAGGCACTTCCATTCTAGCTACTCCAATATGACCAATATGACCAATACAGCTGAATATCCTTTACTTGGGTGAGTGGGGGTCAATTTGACTCCCCAGAGATCTTGAAACTAACATAGCTAGAGACTCCAAATTCAAAGCAGAGATTAGCCTTTAATGAACTCACTTGTGTCAAACTTGGAGGTGTCTCTGTCATGGCCTTGTGATCAAATAAGGCCAAACAAGGTTAAATTCCAGATTTGTGCCTCAAGTGCCCCCAGACCTCCTCATGCAACCACTGTGAAGATAGATACCTGTTCTAAGCAAAACTTCAATGAGGTCAGTGACCTTGGTTGACCTTTTTGAGGTAAAGGTGGTGAAATTCTATGAGATTGCTGCTATTTTGTCAGTTGAATAACTGCCAGGGATTATGCTAGGTAGCATGTTCCCAAAAACAAAATGTTGAGCCAGGTCACTTTAGGCCAGTGGCCTACTCTGACCTTTCAAAAAGTCCATGGAACACGACTGCGGCAGCCCTTGCTAGTAATATATTCAAAATGCACACCAGATACTATCTCATAAACCCAAGGTCTTGAGTAAAAGGAAGCTGAGTTTTTATCTTGTTCTGACTCTCATACCTGACCATAGGTCAATGGCAAAAGTTCTAGTTTTAAATTAAGTTCTTTGCTTAACAAACTATCTCAGGTTTGCATGGCTTCGTTTAATGCTCCGCCCTTGCATCACATTGAATAATTCCCTAAAAATGCCC